AACAGGCTGCCCAGGGAAGTGGTTGAGTCACCATCCCTGGAAGTATTTAAAAGTCGTGTAGATGAGGCGCTTAGGGACATGGTTTAGAGGGCATGGTGGTGTTGGGTTGACGGTTGGACTCGATGATCTTGGAGGTCTCTCCCAACCTTAATGATTCTATGATTCTATGATTCTGACTGCAGTTTTAAGAAGTTGCTGCAGTGTTGCAAGTACCTTGTCTTGATCCAGGAATCAAGGCTGGTGCAGTAGCAACTCTCCACACATCCACCCTCGCTGGGAAAGAGGCTCTGCTTTGTATTTGAGTCCCTTTCCTTAATGCTCTACAGTCAATGGGAGCAGATGCTTTGGATCCCTCCTTGTTCTCTATTTGGGGGAACAGCTGTAGGCTACCAATATGCATGGAGTATTTTCCAAGTATGATGCTTTCTGGTAATATACAGCTTGTACTTCTGCTTGCTCAGGGACAATGTCACTAAGTCCCATTCTGAGAAAACCTTTGTCCTGCCAGGGTGGGCTGGGGAGAAAGACGCGTGAAGGACAAAAGAAGGAAAACCGCATCCCTCTTAATTTCTTTCCCTTCCCCACTACCCGTGTTCAGTTTATCAACACCTGAAGAGGTGCATCTATGTAAAGCCCTTATAAAAGTACAGTCAGCATGTTACAGAAAGGTAGTCTCTCAAAACACATGTAACTCTGAACTTCCTACATTTGACAGATTTCCTTTTGCAAGAGACAAGCAGCTAATATCTAAAAAACCTACCCTCCTTCCTCCTTTGCTGAAACAAGCTCAGAAAAACTTCACCCTACCCCGCATGGACCCAACCTCTTTTTTCCTTCCTTCATTTCTCCCTGCTCTTACCTGTGGTGGGCTGAGGCTGCATTAACAAACGCACAGTGATAGTGACCTGAGCTGTAGCTGCTCCTTAGGTCCCTTTAGCCCTTCAGTATCTCACTCAACATCTCCAAAAAACTGAGTAAGGTAAGAATACCTGAGGGATAGTTTTGAATAAGTTGCTATTTATGCATTTTGATATCATGCATGATAGAGGATGTTCCTATATTGTGTTCCTTTACGAATAAAGGCAAATACAATTATGTGCATGAAGTCAACTCTCTGCTATGACACAGGCATTAAAGATGCACCTTACCACATGTTCTGGCAGTTGCTACTGTCCCTCTGCATGCAAGGACAACATAAAACACAGGTAGCTGCAGTTCTCAGAGGAAAAAATAGAAATTGCTAAGTGACCACCAAGTATCTATGTTTTTGTGTTTTGTTTTTTTTTTTAATGAAGGATGATGTGGTGATGGGAACCCTGACTGTAAGAGAAAATTTGAAGTTCTCAGCAGCACTCCGTCTGCCAAAGTCAGTGAAGGAACAGGAAAAAAATGAACGAGTGAATCAGATCATCAAGGAACTGGGTTTGAGCAAAGTGGCAGATTCCAAGGTAAGGCATGTAAATACGGTGCTTAAATAATGAACAAATATTAAGTGATTTATTTAATTAACCAAATGGCTCAGCATGGCAGATTAAAAGAAAGTAAAATCAAACAGATTACTTCAGTAATACAATAATTATTAACATTTCTGTATGGCAATCTGTACAGACGCCACGCTGATACTGCCATATGCTATTACATTGCGGGGAAGGGGAAAAGTAGCCTGTGGTTGGAGAAAAAGAGAACACCTCAAGTAATACTAATGTTAAGAAACAGCCTATGTGTGAGGTAACATCTACATCTGTACCTGAGAGTAGGGTCAAAATTTCTTACAACTCTTCCCAAATGCTGCCATGTCGGTAGGATGCTGTTCACTCAAGTATTTGTTATCAGGCCAAATGAGACAAGTTTCTTGTTTTGTGGCAGGTTGGCACCCAGTTCACCCGTGGGGTGTCTGGAGGAGAGCGGAAAAGGACCAATATTGGGATGGAGCTCATCACGGATCCTGCCATCTTGTTTTTGGATGAGCCAACTACGGGACTCGATGCCAGCACTGCTAACACTGTCCTACTGCTAATGAAAAGGTGATGGCCTTGGAAACAGCTTCCTGTTTTCACCACTCAACTCTGCTACATTTCAGTTGTATTTTACTTAAATTACAGTTAGAATAAGCAAACAGGGAAATCAGACATGTAATTGTTTACCAGCGAGCCAAGGCTGCAAAGGGGGTAGGAAAAAGGCTGTATGAATTCTCTCACTCCAAAGCAGCTGCTCACAGCAGTACACAAAGTGCCTTGCAAAGCATGTGCATGCCGGGACTGCAGTTTGTCTGTGATAGCTGTCATGGACAGCTTCATTTATTTTCATGTCTGCCTGGGCCAGAAAAGTGACAAAAACGCCTGTTGTACAGTCTGATAAGGTGATCGATTTTAACAGGGACAGTAGTTAGAACACAGCTAACTGCTGCCCTATCACAAAATCTCAGGCCTATCTTTGGGAAAACAAGCACAACACACTCTCTATTTGCAAATTTTATATCATTTTGCATTTACAATAAGCAAAGAGGACTCAAACGCCTCTCTCTAGAGCTTTCTGTTTGCATCAAAATCTTCCCAGGACCTTCCCCTCCAACAACATTCTCAGCAAGAGGAAACTTTCTTTTCTCACACAGACACTACAAATATGACTGAAATATTTTCTTTTTCCTTTCCCCTTCCCTCTATGGCATGCCAGAGTTAAGTTAATCAAACTTAACCAAGACTTAACTGAACTTGCAAATTCTCTTATCTAAATGCTGAATCGACTTGCAAAGCTAACATCTGTCATTCTTCACATTCAGGATGGCAAAACAAGGAAAAACAATAATCTTCTCCATCCACCAGCCTCGGTACTCCATATTCCGACTGTTTGACAACCTGACGCTGCTGGCCGCGGGGAGAGTGCTGTACCACGGGCCTGCTCAGCACGCCATCGAGTACTTCCAATCTATCGGTGAGCACAACTCACAGCAGGGCCAACTGCAGCAACATCTTTAGTTTGCACTAACTTGAATAAAATGCCAATAATGCTTGATCAGAATTGGATATAGTCTGTATTAGCAAGCCCGGGATTTTAACAGGCTAAGCATTTCTCTCAGTGTTTCACCTCTTGACCCATATGTGGGCTTGGATAATAGGGCTGACCTCTAATCAACTGTTCCTGGGCACATCTTAATTAGACAAAGCCCAGGCTAGGGTTGAGAAGGGCACATTGCCAGCTGTCACCTTGCTTTCACTGATAGAGCTGTCCGGCCGTGCTGTTCATCTCTTGGGTAAGCACGGACCTTTTGAAGCCTGCAATGCTTATGGTGCAGGCTGCTCAACAGGCACAATGGTGTGGCTGTGTTCATGACGGCCATGCATAGCCTTCTGCCAGTCACACAACCACCACTTAGGGCTTGTAATGCTGTCACCGCAGGCTATGAGTGTGAGCCATACAACAACCCTGCCGACTTTTTCCTGGACATCATTAATGGAGACTCCACTGCAGTGGCAATGAGCGAGACCAATGAAACTAACACAGGTATGAAAACCAGAGCTGAGTGAAATTGTAACAACATGTATTTTGCCAGAAGGTGTCCAGCAAAACACTGAAGAATCACTTACAGGCGTCAAACAACCAATAACCGTGTTGTACAAGCATACGGTTATTTGTATGCATGAGAATATTACGTACTGCTGATCCATGTTGCTTTAAAGGAAAAAAAACCCTACACCATTCCTAAATCCTTTTTGTTATACACGGAAAATAATTAGCACAACCTGAAATAAGTACCAAATTCACATACAGCCCTACTATATAAAATATTCCTGTCTATGCAAGAATAGTTTGCCTCTCATAAATATTTAGTAATTTATCATTGCTATCCATTTCTTCATAAACTGACCTGTATACTTTAGTGTCACACTCAAATTACGAGATGTTAAAGGTGAAAGAATATTTTCCTGTGTTGAAGTTATAATGTCTGGGAATAAAAAAACCTGTTTTGTTACCTCTCAACACAGAGAGCGAGCTTCTTTGATCTTCGAGGCAAACCAACTGAAGTCCTGCAGAAGCAGAGACCATAAATCAGGACAATTGTTCCAGTTAGGGACATAATTTGATGCAGTTATGCTTTGTATTTTTTACCTGATGGAATGGTTTATCTGTTACGAAATTACTGTTTTCCTTCCTCTGAGTAGGCTGGGAAGAGGGGGTAGAGATAGGGGACCAGTGTTCTCCTGATGATTCCCTGAAGTTGTGGTAAGGCAGAAATTATCCCCAAACTAACAAATCAAATCTCACCTACATTCAGTAGCATGCTTCTTCATCCTGTCTGTTGCCACTCGTTAATAGCACACTCTCTCTTCACATGAATGAAAAGGGAAATGAAATAATGAATATGCTATGTGCCCAAACACACAAAACATTGTCGTTTTGTTGGGGAGGTTTAGATTGGACATGAGGAAAAATTTCTTCACTGAAAGAGTGGTTAAACATTGGAACAGGCTGCCCAGGGAAGTGGTTGAGTCACCATCCCTGGAAGTATTTAAAAGACGGGTAGATGAGGCGCTTAGGGACATGGTTTAGTGGGCATGGTGGTGTTGGGTTGACGGTTGGACTCGATGATCTTAGAGGTCTTTTCCAACCTTAATGATTCTATGATTCTTAGTCATATGATTTAGTTTTAGGTAGTCCTGCGAGGAGCAGGGAGTTGGACTTGATGATCCTTATGGGTCCCTTCCAACTCGAGATATTCTATGATACTATTCTATGATACTATGATATCTTTACCAAAGAAGCAACCAGCGTTTTACAAAAATGCTGACTGTGTTCAGGGTCTGACTAACATTATAGCTGGCAACACACGTTGTTATTTGTCATTGGAAAAGCACACACTGGACTAGAGTTGAGAAAAAAAGGAGCTCCAGCTGAAATCTCTTTATGACAGACTCAAAAGTTTGACTGAAGTAGACACATGCAGGATTACCTGGATCTAAAAGTCTGGGAGGTCTAGGATAATCTCATCAGATCTGCGAAACAGATCACTTACAGAAACCTGGGGGGGGGACAGAAACCTGGGGGGGGGGGGAATCACTTTTTGATTAAAAGTCAGATTGCTGCCAGTTTGAAACTTCATTGGCAGACACGGGTTTACCTAGTCAGTCTGCTGTGAAGCCGCTGCCTGTGGGACAGGTTGCACAGACACACACAGAGGTTTGGTCTTACTTAGACCAACTCTTCTGAATTGCATGCCATGAGACCGAGTGCAATGAATCACTGGAACTAAATGTGCATATTAATTCTTCTGGTTCGTTAGGAACTCTCCCACCCCAGCATAACTCTCCTGGCTTAACTCCTAAACAATCTTTCCATCCCTTACAGAAACGATCTTATTTCCTTTTAATCTTTTCAGCAGAGAGCACCGAAGAATGCACTGAATATGATAAAACCTTGGCTGAGAAGTTAGCAGAAAAATACTCCAACTCTACCTACTACCAAGAAACAAAAGCAGTATTAGAAAATATTTCTTTGGGAAATAAAAAGAAAACAAAAGCAGTTTTCCGACAAATCACGTATGCCAATTCCTTCCTTCATCAGCTGAAATGGGTGTCCAAGCGCACATTTAAAAATCTGGTAGGAAACCCTCAAGCTTCTGTAGCTCAGGTAACGCTATTTCTATCTATCCTTTTGTGGTATACGTTGAATTTATTCCACTCCTGTATTAGATAAGTCATTGGGATGGTTTTGCCTCTTGATATTTTGACTGCAGTAAGCATCTGAAAAAAGAGTGTTCAAGGTCTGGAAATCTGATTCACTAGAAGGTGTCCTGAATGCTCCCAAATAAGCAGCATAAGGGACTGTCAGTAATTAATTTTGGACTACTCAAAGACTTTGGGAGGTGAGATCTTTTCCAGCAGGGTATTCTGCTGCTCCCGGCCAGGAGCAGATTATCTCCCAAGTAGTTTCACACATTTGCTCCAGAACATTCTTCCACTCTAATTGTCCAGGCTTGGCACTGTGGGGTTTGGCCTCAAATCTTCTCCCCTGCCAGGAAAAGTTAACAGACTGCACTTGCATACTTAATTAAACTTCAGCACATAATGAAGTGCTGGCAGTTGGCTCAAGTGTAAAAATATTTTCACAGTCTCGTAATGTGTGTGTTGTTTGGTCAATTGACTGTTCATAATGGTGATGACGTCTTCTGAAGAAGATATGATGAAGACCACAATAGGGTCTAACATCTGCCATGGAAGATGAGCATGCTCTACGTGACTGGCCCTGTTAGTGCTGCTTTTTCAGAAGAATCAACACCAAAAGTGTTGATTTCTTCAAAGCTGCACATTGCCTTCAAAAATAAAGAATGCCTGGCTGACCTCTGCAGAATGACTAATCCTCAGGAATCCCCTAATTCATGAGCCAAACTCTGCAGTCCCAGCACCAGCAAAACTCCCACTGCAATTCTCACCAATTCTAGAGGAGCCAATAGAAAAATTGTTCCCAAGCCAGGGGTATAAATTATCTTCATCATGGTTTATATAATGAGTGAACAAACGGCCAGTGTGGAGGGGAAATGAGTCCAGAATCCCTGAGGTTAAAAGGCTTTGAGCATGTGTGTGTGTCTGTATGTTGATACTATGGAGATCCTTAATAATTGCTTTGTAAAAGCTTGACCTTGTGACAAGAATTAGACTCTCAAGGATCTCGTAATACCCCAAGGTTAATGGTCCTGACTTGTTTCTCACAATCTTTTCTATCTCCCCACCCTCATTAGGGATGGATTTTACAAGCATTCTTTTAGGGGTACATGGTTCGTTAAGCCTTTTTTCATTAATCTGCTCCAAATTGGTCTTGATATGATCCCTGCTTTCCACTGCAATGGGCTTAGGAGCTGAATTATCCCTGACATTTGCTCCTTTCGGCAGGATCTTAGCAATAGGGTACCATGGATCAAGGGGTTTATAGTGTTAAGACTCATGCATTGTTCACACTTAAAAATGACAGAACTGCCTGATACCATCAGTTTTGCTGAGATTTTTGTCATTTGCATTTAGCATTAAAAAAGTGTGATGTACGCACTTCAGCCTTTTAAATTATATCTTTGAGGCAGCTGGTATCTTTGCTATTTAAATTGTGTTACAGACTGCAAATATCACTACACCTATAGCCCGATCGTAGTATCTTGCTCATGTTAAAAACAATCCCATGAATAATATGAGTGATAGAGCCCAGCAATTACACACTGTGGAGCATGAAAATAAACTGTCATCCCCAAGCCAGCAGTCAGGAAAGGCTGCTTTCGGTTACTGGTTGCCAAGCTCGAAGTAGCATTGAGATGGCTCCAGAGAAACCCCAGCAGAAGAACTGCACTGAAGAGCTGTGGTCAGCCCTAGAGCTGAAGTTACCCTTGTCACTGACAGCAGATGGGGAGTCACTGACTGTCCCAAGGAGGATGAATGGTGGAGAGTATTCGTAGGGAGAAAGGAGTGATGTTGCAATACATCACCAATTAACCAATAATACAACATAACCAATTAATCACAACAACCAAGAATGGCTGAATCACTGGTGGGGGAAAGGAGCTTGACTGAGGTTCACATGGTGCTGGGGTTCCTCTGGGGAAAAACATTATTCCCTCTTTCTAACCTGCCGCACCAAGCCCCTGCTACTGTCCTTCTCCCATCGCTGGTGCTAGCACCCTTCCGGCACTCCCAGAGCAGTTCCCTCAGGCCATAGATCTGGCCCAGCACGAGGTCAAGGAAAAGCTATGATACTGCTGCAGGTATGTGCCTCCTGCTGGCACCACCACAGAAGAGTGAGAAGCAGCTGAAGCTCCTGTACTGTCCCTCCTTTCTAGCCGTCCCAGTGCCTCGCCCGCGTGAGGGAGCAGTGTCTGGCCACCGCCGAGGGCAGGTGGCACTGGGGAGCTGCTGTGTCTCACAGACACCTCTCGAAGGATTCTGTGGCGCAAGACTCAAAGTACTGCTGTACTGCAGGTTGCTAACCGCCCCATAGACTCCCTTCCCAGCTTGGATAGCTCTTCTCCTTTCTGAAAACACTTCCTGTCAATCTACACTCACCCGCTACATATTTCAAAAAAACTACTGAAGCTTTGAAAGCAATGAGAATAATACTTTTCCTCTTCTTTTCTTTTTTATATTTAGCTGTGTGTTACGGCTTTCCTGGGACTGGTTGTAGGTGCCATTTTCTTTGGACTTAAAGAGGACTCCACTGGACTACAGAACAGGTTAGTCAGTTTAGGCAATGGATATCCAAAAATTTGATAAAGCTCTCTCATCATTGTGATAGAATAACGAACAGCTTGGAGGCTGAGAAGGAACCTGCAAGCTCTTTATGAAATATATCTACCTCTTTAAAGCAAATGCTTCCCTTCACATCAGTAGGTAAGGCCAAGCCTACGTTAGTGACTTCAAAGTGAGCAAGTTCTGAGAGGGGGATGCAGTTCTGCCCTGCCATGCTGTAACCTGGACAAGCAGTCTGAATGAAGCGAGTAACGCTACTTCTCTAGGATGACATTTTTCAGTTCCAGTCAGGTTGCTGAAAATGCTGAACAGCAGACATCATATTAAAAAGGCTTAATTCAGCATGGCAGCATTTTAACTTATTTTCTGCAAAGATTTCCCCAAGATAACAAGATTAAAGATTAAAATATACAGACTTGGCTACATAAACCTGGGTAACTAAAGCTTTGATATTACAACTGCTTCTATATACACACTTGAGTTTACCAGCAATAAGTCAGAAGGTGCATCTAAAGCTAGATTTTAAAAATATTCTGGTCTATGTATCATTTTGACAGCTGTATGTACATGACCTGACAAATGGGTTTGCAACTAAGAAAGCTCTGGGTTCTTAGTCTTGAAACACTTCACAGCATTTACTTAAAAATGGCGCAGTTTTAAATTGGATATGAAAGTGTGAAAGCAAAGCCTTAAATTTTAGTGGAAAAGGTGAAAACAACTTCTCACATTGCTTATTCAGTTCCTCGCAGTTTGCATCAGACAAATGCCTCACAGACTGAGAATTTTTAATGTGTCAGGAAATTCCATTAAAAAAAAAAAAAGGGAAATCAGTTCATTTTCTATCCCTCGACTGCATCAGAGGACATACTATCCTCACACGCAAATAACAAATACTGCCTGTACCACCCGTCTACTTCAGGCTTGTTAAAGACTTGTAGCCAAGCCTTTTCCTGTGGAATTCGGCATGGGAGGTCACATACTGCCGAGCTCCAGGCACTACGGTAAATCCAAACCCAGGTTGGATTTACGTATGCCGTAGTGGAAACACTACATTTACATGACATTTTTAATAACAGCTTGCTGTTTTGCTTTTTGCAGAGTGGGTGCAATGTTCTTTCTGACCACCAACCAGTGTTTCAGCAGCGTCTCAGCTATTGAACTTTTTATTGTAGAAAAAAAGACATTTACGTAAGTAAAACATACAAAAAAGTTATCAGGGACTACTGTTAGAGAGTTTGGTTTTTTTCCCTGCTGTAGCTAATTGTCATTTAAGTACACCTAGTGCAGAGTTTTCAAATTATTTCACTGTTAGTGCTCATTGCAAATGTACTCTTTTAGCCTGTTAGTGAGTTGTCTGCAAATCCCCAAAACGGTACCTATGATTGCAAATGGCTCAGAGTTTAAAATTATTAACATATGTAGGAAAAAAAACCCTGAATACTCAATTTAGGTATTGATAAATAAGTTTGTGACTTGCTAGTGAGGACAGCAAATATTATCTAACTGGATTCTTTAAAGCTATGCAAGTTACACTGTACAGAAAAGGAAAATTATTTAAGCTTTACCCTTTCTGTTTTGATGACACGACACATACATTTACTGAAAATTATGTGCACAAGTATCCATATTCATTTGCACATGAAAATGCCACCATTACTACAGTGTGTGGACATTTGCATTACAGCCCAACCATGAAAAAACTCCTTTTTTCCAGTTTGAGCTAGAATTCATTTGTCTCCAAGTAAAAATAATCTTACTGGTTTTTAGTGGTTAAATTTGTAGTATGCTGTATTTATCTCTGTGTTCCAGACATGAATATATCAGTGGGTACTACAGAACATCTGCATATTTCATCTCAAAGCTAATGGCTGATTTAATACCCATGAGGACTATACCAAGCATCATCTTCACCTGTATAATTTACTTCATGTTAGGCAAGTATGGTCTCCTGCAGTCCCATTACAACCCCCTCAATAAAGGGGGCACAAATCAACAAGGCACCCGCATTTAATGTATGTGCGTGTATACATGTATATTTATATAGGCTAAAACACTACATTGGCATGGCAGTGGTTACTGTGCTTGCTTTTAGCATACCATGCTGTTTACAGAAAAGACACACTTTCAAAGATTTAAGCGTTCATGTCAGAATCTGTGACATGTCTCATCTCCACTGTCCTTAGAAGGAAGCGTGCCATAACCATTACTACATAGGTTTGGTTTATTCCTTTTCATTTATGGTTATCTTAGCTTCCAGTGACTTTTACAAGACACTTTTTCCATCCTTGCAAGAACACCTATCAAAGAAAAAGTTTTAAGAACTTAATATTGTGTGAATTAATATCAGCTTGTCCTTTTTGGTGAAATGCCATCTGGTTGATGAGCAGACTTTGAAAATTGCTGGCACCAACTTTTGCAACCCTAGAAGACCTTCAAATGTCATCTTCAAAATATGTCCCAAGCAGACCATTTTCTTAGAGTAAGGTTTCAGATCACGACATCCTTTTGGGATGTCCCAAAAGCTTGAAAGTGCAAGCAAAATTTAAAAATAATCACAGTTCGCTTTGGTCTGAGTTTTTTTCCCCAAGGAATAGGAAACAAGGCTGCATCAGCAAGTGGCTCTCAGACTGCGAAACTGGAGTGAGATAGATCTTGCTACCAAATCCATAGCCGTCCAAAGGCCACTAGGTCCATTAGGAGAGCTCTGATGGAAACAAGTGAAATGCTGTACAACTGCTGCTCATGGAAGTGCACTAGAAACTTCTCCTTTGATAAACAACTTGAAGCCACAGTGACGCCTTCACCTTGGACTGTGTGGAGTACAGTACTGTAACTTCTACCCATTCTGCTACCTCCAGTGTTACTGCAGTTACCGGCATACTACTTATTCATCTTGTCCTCCGTTGACAGGGCATACACATATGGGCTGTCACAAGCCCCACCGCAGTCTTGGGTCTCAGTGATGTAGCCTATGCTGTCAGACAAAATGTATTCCGTAGGCAGGATACACTACATGTCAGGATAGTGTTCAGGTTATGGCAGAGCTTGTGGCAGGATCATACTGAAACCCTTCTTGTTCTGATCTTTAAGGTTTGAAACCAACAGTAGAAGCCTTCTTTACAATGATGTTTACCCTTATGATGGTGTCCTACACAGCCACTTCTATGGCACTAGCCATTGCAGCAGGACAGAGTGTGGTCGCTGTAGCAAACCTGCTCATGACTATCACATTTGTTTTTATGATTGTGAGTAGCATTATTCAGTTTTCTAGACTGCATCCTGAAATCCTAGAAATGCCGAAATCTAGAAATCCTACCAGCACAGAGTTCAGCCGAATTCTGCAAAAAGACTGCGGGGTTGAGTGTGTCAAATATCCTGATTTGTCTGATTTGAATATTCTGATATTGTGGGGTCGAATATTCTGATTTGTCCTTTTAACTAACAAGAACCAGGGGGCTGGGGGGCCGGGTGTGAGTGGGAGGTAGAGTGGTTCCTCTGCCCTCTTCTCTATGGCTCTGGCAGCCAGCGTACTGCCTGGAAAGTAGAAGAGTGGCCTAGAGCTGCATTTCATTCACTCTCCTTTAGCTTTGCCAAAGACAAATTTGGCTGGTGAGAACATGACCCGCAGCCTCCTGCTCTCTGAGACCACTACCGTAGTTGCCCTCCTCAGCTGCAGAGCCAACCATCAGGCATGTTAGAACCAGACAACACACAAACAGCTACAGTTAGAAGACAGGCACCATAAACAATGAGGCAGTGCTGAACCAACAGCCAAAAACCACGTTGCCTCAGACTCAGGGCACACAAGCAAAACCGAGTGCACACCTCCAGCAGCTCCACACACCCGAGTAACAGCAGACAGTTCATGTGAACCCATGTGGGACCCACAGATAGGAAGCATCTGGGTTTAATGCACGGGTGAAAGCATTCCCCATTACTCATTTCAGGAGAAGGACCACATGGGGTTATGGCCCAAAGCTGGGTAACAGAAACGATTCCTTCCCTCTCCCCTGTTCTTCCACTAAAAGAGTTTCTTCCTCTAGAAATGCCTTCCCACTTGTTCTTAATCTGAAGAAGCAGAGTCAAGAGCTAGAGAAGAACACATGGTAACAGCATGTAATTTGTAATTTGTTTTGTTGTTTTTGTTGGGGCTTTTTTGTAGATTTTCTCTGGGTTGCTGGTCAATCTCACAAGCATCATGTCCTGGCTCTCCTGGCTCAAATACTTTAGCATCCCTCGATACGGAATGACAGTAAGTGCTGTATTTTCCTGTGTACAGACTTGGAAAAGATTTGCTAGAAAGGAATGTCTTCACTCATGATAAAGAAAACTCCAAACTTTATGGGCTAATGAGCAAAAGGTAAGCTAATTAAATACAGCAACCTCAGAATGTAGTGCAGCATCTTGAAACAAGAAAGGCTTCTCATCAACCAGCACCCACTGCTGTTTAGAAGAGCTCATTTCTGTAACTTGGAAACACCTCATGTGAGAGAGACACTAAACAACTACATCCAATGGAATGCAGTTGGACGAAAACGATACAGAGTAAAGAACAATGTTATCCCTAAAAAACAATTCTTCATTTTTACATCAATCAAACAAAAACTTGTCAAGCTAAAACTTTTCTCCTAATTTTTGATAATTTAAGCCAGGGTGATGTTTCGCAGGGAAATTTGGGCTTTAATATGCCTGTGCAGAAATAGTCTAGCCTGGGGGAGGTGTTAAAGGCTGGTGACGCACATGCATTACAGGGTGTGGACTGCATACATTCCTCTCTTAAAAGAAAAAGAACCGTGCTGCTCGGTTAAAAAATGGGGATTTGGCCAACATAATAAATAGTGATACCATCACGTTTTTAGAACAGATTTGAATTATATCTCATCTTGTTAATGTATCATTCCTTTACCTACTAATTTCTGTTGTCATTGTTTCTTTTATTTTAAAAGGCTTTACAGATCAATGAATTGACTGGTCTGAACTTTTGCAGCAGCAGCAACATCACAGATTTAATCAGCAACAGTATCTATCAACAGATAAGCCAGCCGTAAGTATTTTGGTACATTAAAATGAATTCCACCACCAGTAACTTACAAAGTCCTAGACCATTAGTCTGTTTGAGATACTCACTGATGACCAGCAGAATCTGTGAGTTTTTATATGGAAAATGAAGTTTTGACTGGGTTTTTGCATTCTGTCTGCAAAGAACATTTTCCTTATTGTCATATTTAGTATTTGTAACACTAGAAATATCTGGCATTATGCTTCTCACTTTCCTTTAAGCTGCGTTTACTGAAACACATACATACACGCTACAATTATACAGCCTCACAAAATCCATTTCAGCTTCCTCCAGGAAACTGATTGTAGCTGTGAGAAAAACAAATTTACAGATAGAAAAAAAAATAGTAACACATAGCTGGCGTTTGCCTGGCCTACTGTAGACAGGAAATCACACTACAACTTCCAGGGGTCTTCCTAGATACTTCAAACCAACTAAGTTTATAAATGTGTGTGTATTTACCCGTAGGTGGTGTACCGGAGATGAATATCTGAAAAATCAAGGCATTGATGTGAGTAGCTGGGGCCTGTGGCAGAACCACCTGGCTCTTGCCTGCATGACAGTAATATTCCTTATCATTGCATACCTGAAACTGCACTTCATGAAGAAGTTCTCTTAAAACCAGAATGAAAAATGCAATTCCCAATGTTCAGTAGTTTGATAAACTGACTGTGCAACTGATTCTTTGAGACCTTCCTTTGTACTTTTGTTTGATTACACAAGTCAGCAATGTGAATGCCATCCTTGTATATTACTTAGTATTAATGTACTTTGCTGAAATGTCTAGCATGCTTCAGTTCTCTTTGCCACAAAAAGTACTTCAAGAGACTATTCAGTCTTTCTGTATGTTCTAGCTATGAATTTGTTAAACAATGAAACTAGTATTTAATGGCTTAACCTGAAAAAAAAAAATGGTTCCATACGTTAATTAGCACCTACATTCACTGGCAAGTAATTCAGTCCAAAGTGATGCTTATCAGGACACCAATGCAGTCTCAACTGCTAATGTGGTCACAGTCCACATGAGACAGCGACAAAGCCATCCTCTCCATCCCAGTGCACGTCTCATGCCCTTTTCTGTTTGGGAATCGTTACTGCTCTAGAGCGTACTTGATTGATGCCATCAAGTTTCTTCTTACCAAGCGTGAGTGGCAGAAACACTATTTTTTAAATAAAGGTGACTGTGTACTTTCTTACTCTGCCAGTCTGCATAATCCTTGTACTGAAATTTGCATTTTCTCTGCATAACTGCAAGTCATCTTCACTGTCCTGTTATTGCTGCTATCGTGAGTTCTTAGTCTTCTTTATGGCGACCAGTTTCAAGTGTACAGCTATTCAGGATGCTACCACGTTTGTAAGAGTCCGTAGGTTGCAGTAATCCTTTCCTGGCCGGCCAGCTTTTCCCCTGGCCGTACACAGCAATGGTAGCTCGTCTCCTTCCACTTGGTACAGATGCAGCAGCACTTGCAACAAGGATCTCTGCCCTTATCACTCCCCATTATTATTTCATGCAATAAAATTTTCTCTTTTTGAAAGACCCATTGCTTAATTTTGGCTGTGGTGTACGGACTCCTCACCAGTCATCCCTCCTCTTGCGTTTATTTAGGAGGTGCACGTGCGGTACAGTAACGTTATGGGGGAACACTTGCCTAGCTGTACTGCTTCACCAATGTACCTGCCATCTGCCAGGAAAAATCCACACGCACGGCTTATCCTCTACGTTGTAGCTGACGCGGCTTTCTCCTCGTACGCAGCCTGTGCGTTGCAGTAAAACGACACCAGCGGC